TGCGCCACCGGGCTGGCCCGAACCTAACAAATTTTTAAAAAAATTTATTTGGAAATAATTTCAAACTTATAGAAGGTTGCAGGAATAATAATAGTAGAAGGAACACTCATGTCTCTTTCACCCAGATTCACCTACTGCTATGGGTGGGATATATCCCCCAAAAGCCCATGTGTTGGAAACCTGATCCCCACTGTAATAGTGTTAAGAGGGTGGGAAATCCCATTATGCTATTTGGAAGGTGGGGCCTTTCAGAGTTGATTGGGTCATGAGGAGTATGTGCTCATGAATGGATTAATCCATCCACTGAGTAATGAGTTATCATGGGTGTGGACTGGTGGCTTTATAAGGAAGGCACATGAAAGAGCTCATGCCATGCTTGCCATTTGATAACCTGTGTTATCACGGGACTCCAAACAGAGTCACCACCAAGAAAAAGGCCCTTACCAGATGTGTTGCCTGGATCTTGGACATCCAATCTTCCAAGACAGTAAGAAACAAATTTCATTTCTTTATAAATTACCCAGTTTCAGGTATTCTGTTGTAAGCAACAGAAAACAGACCAATATGCATATTATTAACATTTTATCCCATTTGCTTTATGATTTGGGTGTGCTGTCTCTCTCTAAATACATATACAGTGTACGTATAAAATATATTTTTTCTGAACCATTTGAGTGTTATTTGAGGTACTTCAAAAAGTTTATGGGAAAATGGAATTAAAGGATAATATGAATCCTTCTGTGAACTTTTTGAAGACAACATATATATATCATGGCCCTTTACCTCTAAATACTTGTGTATGTTCTAAGAATAGGGATACAGTCTGAAATAATCACTGTACAGTTATCAATTGCAGTAAATTTAACATTGATACAATACTTCAATCTACTATGTGTATTCCAATTTTGTCAACTAACTCAATATTATCCTTTATACCATTTTCCCTTGCAGTACAGGATGCAGTTTAGGGTAGTTATTACATCCCTTTAGCCTCTTTTAGTGTGGACCATTTCTACAAGCCTTTCTTCTTTTATGGCACTGTCATTTTTGAGAATACAATTGGCCCATTTTTTAAAAAACAGAAAGTTTCTCATCATGAGGTACTTGATGTTTCATTACTATTAAACTCAGGTTATACATCCCTGGCCTAGATCTACATAGATGATGCTGTGTCCTTCTCAGGGCATCACATCTGGAGGTACTTGATGGCTACTCTCCTCTCACTGATGATATTAATTTTGATCACTCATTCAAGGTATTGTGCGATTTCCCTACCATTTAATTACCATTTTTTCCTTTAGAATATGAAGCTGTTCATGGGAAACATTTCAAAACCATGCAAATATCCTACCCCTCATCAAAATTTCCCTCAGATTTAGTATTTGTTTATGATTTTGCCCAATCCAATCTTTACAATGATCGTTGCAATGCTGATTTCACAACTCCAGTACTACTTCCACATTTTCCAATAGACTATTGGCATTCTACTGTAAGAAAGATATTTTCTTCTCAAACAAAACAAAACAAAACAAAACAAAACAAAACAAAACAAAAAACTATCACTGGTATGGACTCACAAATTTCTATTTTTTTCTAATAGCTTATAGTACACTACTATACTTTACTGCTGGTGCTCAAATTGTCACAGATTTTGTCAGTGGGAGTCCCTTTAAGCTGGCTACGCTGCCCTTATGACATGGCCCCATCTTGGTTTTTTTTGAGCATTTCCTTTCATTTTGGCATAAAAAGATGTTCTAGGCTCATCCCAAACCCACCCTGCCCCAGACCTGGGAGAGCCATTTCTCCGAGAAGCTCTGGTTCATTTTAATAGGTAATAGATATTAGACACTAAGATCTAGGTTCTCAGTGTGTTCACTGTTACTGGTGTACCTTTGCTATTTGTGGACAGGGCAAATAAATACACACACACAAACAACAAATATACACACATGCACAGATATATGTGTATATATACACATACACATTTTGGAAATTGTAAGATTACATCAACAACTCCCAATTCCAATCCATCACCATAGGTTCTCTCTTGCCTTTCCCCATTCCTTATTGGCATCCTTCTTTTTCCTTAGTAAGAATCTTGGCTGCCAACAATGACAAATTCACTTAATTGCTCAATTCTATCTTACATCTAAAATTGTTTTAGAATTCTTCACCCACACTACAACAAAAACAAACCTACTAAAAAAAGGATTTGTTTGCTATTTTCCCTTTCCCTTCCCTAAGTCTGAGGATATGTAATTAAATACTGTATTCATATGTTAGTTTTTCTTTTTTTTCTCTTTCAACTTACCGTACTCATTTGAAATGCAATTGGGTTCGTTTCAGTTTGTTTTCAGTTTTAGATTCTCCCTATTCCTATCCTTACTGATTTAATTTAATTTCTTAAATATGTAGAACATTAACATGCTTCCAAAAGTCAAACTTATACAAAAAGGTATACTTAGAGAAATGTCACTTCTTCCCATAGCCCTTTTGTCTCTCCCTTTATCTTTTGCTCTCATTCCATCCCTTTGTAACTAACTGCATTATTTTCCTTCTTGTGTTTATGTTGTATTAATTTATCACTCCCGACTTTCTTTTCATAAAGATAAGAACATGTATGCATGTTTTCTTATTTTACCTTCTTTCTTACTTAATAGGTAGTACTCTCTATATGTTCTTTTGAACTTTCCAGCAAACTTTTGATAGTAATTTTATAGTCCTTTCAGGAAGAGAATGTGCTAATCTGCCAATGAACAATGAGGTCACTGTCACCAAGAAACTGACATTCTGCTTTGTAAATTGGTCTCATGAGCATGGCTGGTTTGAGCCCAAACTAGAGAAAGCTTCCAGTGTGGGGATCTGGTAAAAATGTAACTTCTGGTCCTGCAGGGTTGGGGACCATTTTTCCAGAATGTGATAACTACACCAAGGTACTATTATCCTTTTGTGGCCCAGTCTAGTCTGCCTGCTGTTATCCCTAGTTTTCCTATTTTACCTCTAACTACAAACTGTTCCACCCCTAATTTATTCTATGGTTGATAATTTCTGTTCCCTGTAACTCTCAAAAATATATTCACTTTTGCTAAATAAAGAATTTTATTAAGTAATACATTAAACAAAATTCTATTAAATAGAATAAATATATAACAATACAAGACATTAAATAATCATTTAATACTTATTTAATTTAAGACAACATGCTTTGAAGGAATGGTTTCTTTCATACAGTCTAAAAATATCTTGGAACTTTTGGCAACTCCCAGCTATTTTTAGAATTAGTAACTGCTATCTCCTGTTCTTGTCTATTCCATCTCCCTACCCTACTCTGTGAATCTCTAGTTACCATTGATAAGAGGTTTATATATATGACAATGGCGTGCTCCCAAATAACCTGAAGACTCAAGGATTTTGGTTGCCTTCTGAGCCTAAAAAAGGTAAATTCTGTACCCAACAGATGCCATCTGAGGAAGTAAAACACTGTCTACAAATGTCTGATGTGGGAGTAGAGTTGCACCAAAAATTCCAACCAAGATGACCTGGGTAATCTCTGGGAAGCAGAAAAAGGAAAGGCAGGACTGGAGTTTCATAGTAATTTAATGAACTCAAATCTAATCTACAATTTCACATGTAATCTGCTTAGAGAAAAAGTGTAGGAATCAAAAGAAGGCTGGTTAGCCCAAAATACAGAAAGCAAAGGCCAAAAGATCCAGAGGTTGGCAGACTTGTTGAACCCTGTCCAAGGGAGGGGACCTTTGGACCTGCAGATTGCATTGTTTCTCAGATTCTGTACTCACCCAAACAACCTTCTAATTATAATCTGATTCCTCAAGTGGCCTGACTACAAGAATAGGGCATGCCTGAACAGTGATGCTTGTATTTTGAAATGTCTGGTTCTACATTTTTTTTTTTCCTTTTTGTCTTTTTTCGTGACTGGTAACGGGATCGCAACCCTCAGTGTTGCGCCCGCACCGCGACCGGCAACGGGATCGCAACCCTCGGTGTCGCGCTCACACTGCGCTCAACCGGTGAGCGGACCGGTCTCTATATGGGATCCGAACCCTCGGTGGGAGTGCTGCCGCTCTCCCAAGCGCCGCACTCTACCGAGTGCGCCACCAGGCTGGCCCCCTAGTTCTACATTTTATTGGATTAATAAAATAGCATTCTGGCTCATATATCAATTTCTCATGAAAAGGCTGGCCCCCTGGTTCTACATTTTATTGGATTAATAAAATAGCATTCTGGCTCATATATCAATTTCTCATGAAATAATTCATGAGAATAAATCATGATTATTTCTCTGGAATAATCAACATTCAGCCAATTTTCTTAGCTCTGATCAACTTCCAATTGCTCCTCTATTTTACACCTAGATGTGCGCTAATGTTTCTGTTAGTAGGAGATTAATTAATCCAACTAAAGGACCAGAATAGGCAAGGTCCTCAAAAGCCTATCCTATTAATCTACTTTATATATTACAAAGTTAAATTTGTATGTTGCACTAGAAGTGTATGTTTATGTTAGTTTTTGACAGAATATGAATGCTGAACAAAAAGCATAACTTTATCATCATCTAAAAATATATAACAGGTTTGGATCCATACTGGCCAGGTGCCAATAAAAAAAAAATATATGTATATACACGCACATATAATATTATGATTTGTAGTCTCATATATTCAGAATTTAGAAAACATGAGTTTAAATTATACAAGCAAGCATTTATTACACAGTTACTTTAGACACTCAAAATAAAAACATACCTCCTAAAGCCCCACTGTGATCTAGGCTTTTCTTTTTAAAGCCATTAGAGACAATCAAAACAGGAACAATAACAGAAAACAGCCAACGCCAAGGAGAAACAGGCCGTAAATTACCTGAAAAATTATAAAGGTGAAGTACAAATTGTGTTAAGTCTGCACAGGTTAGTCTTGGCAGTAAGCTTTGATAACAGCTTTCTGAATTAAAATACTGTCATAAGTAGACAAACCAAAATTAAGTCACCAAAGTAGAATATTTATGTTGAGACTTGTATATTTTCAGAGGGGTAATCTTACTGGCAAATGGCCAAATAGGTTATGCCCAAGTTTTGAGAACCATTCACAGCCACTTATGATAATAATGTGTATTTCAAATATGGGTATTTGGAGATCTGAAATGAATCTCTGGTTCCTCATTTTTTTTGAGAGGAGACACATGTTAAATTTTAAGGACTACATAGAATAAACTCTTTCCTTAACAAGATGTAATTATACCTCTCTCTGGCCTCTCAGAGAGCTCTTTTTAAAAAACAGTCTGATGGGCTACACACCTAATTCAATGGTCAGAAACTGATTTTTCCAAAGGCTGCATCCAGCTCACAGATGTTTTGTTTGGCTAGCATAGTGTTTTCAAGCAATTTGAGTCAATATTTAAAGATTAGGAGATTTTGTATAAAAATCCAAATTTAACTGAAGGTGAAGAGAGGCTACCTCATTTAGACAGGTCATAGCTTTCCTGTTTAAAGCCCTCACCACTCCTGACAGACTCCTAAACACCAAGGCTGAGTGATTTCTTTATAGTAAAGAAAAGTGTGAACTTCTACTTGTGTCCATGTTTCTACCCAAAATGGGAAAATGAAAGACAAAGGGCTGAGTGTTTGATGAAAATGAGAAAAATTCTATTTCTGCAAATGAAAACTATTGCCACATGTCTAATTTGCAAAAAACTGTACAGATTTATTCATTTGCATTAGGTGCCTGACCCCAGGAGGACACTTCAGTTCACAAATCCTGGTTTATTTTATTTAGTTAATACTGGCACCAACAAGAATCTTCTCCTTTCATCTCCCTCCTCTGAAACCCCCATCCCTTACCGTGAATCACTGTGAACGAACAGCCCTGAGATCTGTATCCTGGAAAACACCTACACAATTATTCACGTTTCTTTGCAAAAGGACTAAGGTCTGAAATGGCAATTACTTCCTATATAAATAACCACTTATAAGAGTTCACTTTCTTACTTTCCTTTTTACTTCTGCCTTTGTTGTGAACTGACCAGTATTTTGCTTTTGTAAGGGTACCAAAGATTATATTCTAAGGCAGCTTCAAAACCTTAAAGATCTGAGTCCGGAGTACCTTACACTCATATTTGCAAAGTGGCTCCAAGCTTTAAAGAAGTTTTTTTTTTTTTTGGTGGCTGGCCGGCATGGGGATCCAAACCTGTGACCTTGGTGTTACAAGGCTGAGCTCTAACCAACTGAGCTAACCAGCCAGCCCCAAGAAGTCTGTTCTTTTTTTTTTTTTAAAAAAAAAGATGACCGGTAAGGGGATCTTAACTCTTGACTTGGTGTTGTCAGCACCATGCTCACCCAGTGAGCTAACCGGCCATCCCTATATGGGATCCGAACCCATGGCCTTGGCATTATCAGAACCACACTCACCTGAGTGAGCCACCGGCCGGCCCAAAAATCAAATATATTTCTATATACTAGCAATAAACAATTGGAAGTTGGAAAAATTTTTCGAAAGCATTATTTGCAATTGCACCAGAAAACATGAAATACTTACGTTTAAATCTAACAAAATATGTGCAAGATCTGTATGCTGAAAACTACAAAACACTGATGAAGGAAATAAAAGAAACCTTAAAAAAAATGAAGAGGTATATTCATGGATTGGAAGATTCAATATTGTTAAGATAAAAATTCTCCCACATGGATCCAGATTCACTGCAATTCTAATGAAAATTTCTGCAAATTTTTTTGTAGAACTTGACAAGCTGATTTTAAAGGTTATATGGAAAGGCAATGGAACTAGAATAGTCAAAACAATTTCAAACAAGAACAACAAAATTGGAGAATTTACACTAATTTCATGACTTTCTCTAAAGCTACAATAATCGACACAGTTTGTTACT